ACAGAGAGCTAGCGAGCAAATTAAATAATCATCATTTCCGATCCTCCGGTTTTATTTATGTCGTCTCTGCTGTGTTTCCAGCTAGCGATCGCCTCGTGCGTCGCCGCGCAACAAAATCGACAGGCACATCCTCAACGAACAGAGAGAAAGAGAGAGAGACTTGCTGTATACACACAGATGTACCGGTACATTACGCTCAGGGCTATAAGGGCTGACCCGTAGCGCGCGTATAGTGGATATATATAAAGACGAGAGCCCATAAGAAAATAATCCATATCGAGAAACTCGAGTCGTTGAACTAACGCGAAAAATTTTTTTGCGCCTCGCTGAAGCAAGAAACAGCTGTATACTTATACGTATACCTGTTAATATACAGATCAAGGTGTACGTATATATATACACGCATGCTGCAAGTGCGCGGCTGCACGTACGCGTGCTGCGAACGCGTGTCTATATGCGTCTGTGTATAATACATGAAACGCACGTTTGGGGTCAACGAAAAAACGATTTTCATCCGTCCGACAAAGAGATCAGGGTTACGTACGTATTACACACAGCGCACACACACACGTGTATAATAAGTGAAATTACGGTTTGGCATACACTGCATTATACACACACACAGACAGAGAGACCCGCGAGAAAATAGGTGTAAAAAGTTTTAAGTACGAGATGGAGAGAGAGAAACAGACGAGCACGTGCTTGCTTAGCGATATAATTATGGTGTAATGACACGTGTGTTGCAACAACAACAACAGCAGCAACAGCAGCAGCAGCAGAGAGCTCAGGAATATGCACAGGGTACTTTTTTCCTTCTTCTCGCTGAGGCGCTCGCGCGCGAGATTACTTTAGACTACATTTTTCCTCGCGTCTCTGTGCGCTGTATAATAATGAAATTTCGCATTTCGCTCTCTTGCCCGTTACACATTCTGCGCGCACACGGCCAAGTACGTGTGTGTGTTTATCCTTTTGAAATTCGTAATTTCGAGTTATATACACTCTCTTGGGCTTGAATATAATGAAGTCGCGGAGTTTTTGACCCAGTGCGGTACACGTACTGTATACGCTTTGCGTGCTCGTGATATACTTTTGACTGTGTGTGCGTATGTACGCAATTCAGTCAGCAAATTTTTTCGTCGGTGCGCGCGCGAGCGCGTAAAAAGGTATATAATCACTTAATAGGCAGGTTACAATGTACACGCACAAGCTGAGAGAGAGAGAGCTCAGCGAAGAATTTTAAGTACCACGAATGAAACGATACGATAATCGTTTACGTTTTACGTATATAAACAAATGAATCGTTTTTGATGTGAAACTTCTTTATGGGACGTTTGGTGGGAGAGTAACTCCGTGAAAAAGGGAATATCGTGATAATTTCCAAATTATAGACTCCTCAAAGCCATTTTTGTTGAAAAATTAAAGGATTAATATTGTAGCATTTGTTTTGGATTGTAACAAAATTTATGGTAATTAAAGGTGTCATATATGATTGTGAGCTTTCAAATTCCGTCAACAAATGGAGTATTGTCAACTCACAAGTGGCAAAAACATTTCTGTTAAGCATATAACAGTGATTATTATTTTACAGTGACAGAGTATTCGTTTAATGTACATAAGACGATTTCAGTAAATAAACATCGTACTAATTTTCTCGTACCTATACCTGCCTAGAATTTTGCAAAATCACAGCTACTCTTACGAGGAAAATTTCTCAGTTTCAGATCTCGAAATCATCGCCCCATATTTTTTCAGGTGTCATAATGTTATTAAAATACTCGTCCGTGCTATCGACAGCTCCAAACTCTCGGAGCTCTCGGAGCAATCGAAAGTGTGTAATATCGAGTCAAGATCCGGCTGAATTTCAAGGACGAATCTAAACGACTTTAGAGATCGCGAAACCGTTTTTTTTCATGCTTCTCTCCCCCGACGCGAGGAAGAAGCAGCGACAGCGAGGAATCGAGACGATGTTCTATATTATGTTCTCGATAGTTGAAATAGGATAGAAACGTCGCGACTATTGCGCAACTCGCGACAATTGAAGCTAATCGACGAGGCACATCTCTGTCGAGAGAGAACGATCAGCGACAGAGAGAGAAGTACGAAAAAAAAACATAAGCCTTATAATCCAATAATTATACCAATCACTCGATGATCGTCAACAAAACCATCATCGGCGTTAATTATTCTTTCGCGATGATGATGATGATCCCCTGCGCGCGCGCTTCTTGCGCAACCTCTCGATAAATTATATTATTATACGCACGCACGAGCTCAACCGCGAGATCGAGAGTCATGTGTGTGTATGTTGTATTTGCATATAAAAGCACAACCTGCTACGATGTGTGTACGTGTTTACACGCACGATAAACATATGTTTCGTCGACAACATCAACAATAAAAAAAAAAGTGAAAAAAATGAAGCATCATTCGCTATGTTATTATAGGACTCCATATATTCTCCTTTCTCGTGGGACGACGATGCAGCTGTTTGTGTATATTATGTTACACACGAATTTACGAACGAATTACGTAATGGATTTTTCGGCGAAAGTTAAAAGGATGAAATATCGATGTGACACGCGATCGGCAATAATGAAAATGTATGTGTAATATATTTTTTAGTTTACAAAATCGCATTACAACGTTAAATATAAATTTACAACTGTCTCCGATGAAGATGTTGGGGCTTTAATACCGAGTCACTATAAATTTTCGCACGATTTTTCGAGCTTCAAAACATCGGCTGTGCCGCTTGCACGATCGTTTGTTTTTTTCTTTCTTCGAGCAAGTTTACTCCTCGTAACCTAAAAAAGTTTTACGCTACAAAAAATCGTATTTATACACAGTCGCACGAGCGTGTATGATATCTCGCGCGCGAGTCGATGAACCGCAAGAATTAGCACACGCGAGCGAGAGAGGTCTTCTCTCTCTCGAAACGCGAATGCGCGCCTGGCATTCGTCGACGTCCAAACCAAATGCACGATCCGTCAATCAAATTGCGGCAGACACGCGTGGCACAGTGTTTTTTCTGTATACATAATACCATCTCATACGTGTATTCTTTTTCGTTTTTCTACGTTAAAAACGTGTTCGCTTCTATACACTATGTCGCGCTTCACTTCTGTTGGCTGCGGCAGCGCGGCATTAGAGACTGCACGAGATCCGATCCGACGTGTGCACCAGAGAGCTCCGAGAGAGAGAGAGAGAGAAGAGAGAATAATTCGAGAGAGGAAAAGATAGATTAGAATCGGAGTTATAAGCAATGATGGAGTGTATATCTGTATGAAAGGCTCTCTCGAGCTCGCTGCAAGTGCCGACGTTTTTCATCACAGAGACATTTAACAGATATTCATTCGAGTCAATAAATAGTTAAGGCTTAAACGATCCCGACTGCACACAGCGCATATAATATAATAACTTTGGGATATTTGAGATTTTTTCCGAGCCTCGATTGCAGTGTATAGAGTACCCTCGATAGGCAGACGCACATTTATAAAACCGACCATCGAGTGTCGTACACTCCTCCCCGTATTATACAAACGTTTATGTAGGTATGTATGATGGTGAGAGTTTCGCGCCTTCGGGCTGATGATATTCGCAATGCACAATATACGCGGAGAAATATGGCTATACGGAACACGATCGTGAAATTCGACGAGAGGGATTCCTTCTCTCTCTTTCTTCCTCTCGCCGTGTGAGAATTCGGCGATGGAAGAAAATTCGAAAGTTTTCCGCACTCGCTCGCTCCTTACACAGGTTGATGTATATTATTATTTGTTATTCGTTTAAGTGAAGACTATTATGACGACGATTGCCGTAACGGAGATAAGGTGGCGTGCGCGCGCAAATATATACACAAATATTCGCGTGAAAGTTTGATTGTGTGTGTGGACACTCGAGTACCTTTTTTTCTCTCTCTAGTTCTCGATTGATTATACACATAACTCCAGCAGAGCTCGAGAGCAGAGTTGGGAAATCATAGTTAAAAAATTTCAATTTCTAAATTGCAACCTCGACTGCGCGCTGCGATGTTCGCTAGAGACATATACGGCCGATACGATCAATAACAAAAAAAACATACCGGAGCGCCGGTGATTCATGCAATGATCTGCGGACTGGAGCTCTCATAGCAAAGTTGCGCGAGACATCAGTTGCTATAACGTAGAAAAATCGAAACCACACTCTGATGAATTCGTTGGGATATATCTTAATGTGCTCGCGAGTGGAAGCAAAAAAAAATGCGATTGAATATTTGCCCCCAAGGCGTACATGGGCAGGCGGCACGGCGGCGTCAGTAACTACGCAATGCTCTTACGAATGAAAGTCATCGGTGGCCTTTTTCAATTTTTTTCGTGCTTTAACTTTGCCTCGCATGTATACAAATAGTGCGGTGTACATGTGTGAATGGGGGATAAATTCATATTTTTCTGATATATACGACACCTCTTACCATTGATTCAACGTCTGATCATAAATTTTTAATCTCTTAATATTAACATCTTATAAATTAACATTACATGGTACATTAAGCATAAAATATTGCATATAACATGTGGCACATATATGTATAAAAAGTATTAAATGTCTACGTTGTATATATGGAATTAATACATTTACATAGAAAGCGGATAATTTCTTAATAGAAGCTTTTGCGTATGTACAAAAAAAAACAAAGCAAACGCACTCAAAGTAATTGGTTCCATTATGCTTCCTGCGGGCTGTCCCGCTCGGACACATAACGCTATAATACGCACAGACGGACATTCACACACACTACTGCACTCTTGCACACAAAACATTACCAGGAAAAAATTCTACACAAATTCAATTGCTTTCAGCGGCTACTGTATTTTTGTACACGTATGAGACTTCTTGCTATAATCGAAGCTTTCAACGCTAATTACAACGTGCAAGCGAGTTTATTTATAGCAGATTGCAAACATGCCAAGTTACTGAAAAATTAAAGGTAAATATATAATAAGTGATGTCGAAAAACGTACCCTGTACCAAGTAGCCACCTATCGACGTGTTTCGAATTTTTTTTTGTTGCGTTCGTTCGTTAGATAGATTTAACGTTGCCGTGAGCGTATATATTGCGGAACATATACGGACGGAGGTGGTGGGAAGCACAGAGAGATGACGTTGTTGGTTGGTCAGTGCGTCGATGGTAGTAGGCGTCGTCGTTTTTTATAATTTTTTTTTTTTCATTTTGTTTTATTATTGTCGTCAGGTCAGGCATGAACAAAAACATATAATAACATAGGTAAACCCAGAGAAGGTGATATACATGTATATACTTTTCTGCTTTGTTTCATTTATATAGAAAAAAAGAGAATACCAGGAGGGGAGCGAGCGATGCTATTATAAATGCATCATGAGATGCGTTCATGCAAAAACAAACGATGATGATGAGATTTCACTTTTTTCCTCGCTCTTTATTCGAATATCCGCGCAATTGATGAATGCACCGTCTTTTTTTCTAATTTAGCTCTACGGGTGGCCGGATGTAGAAAAAAAAAGGTGATAAATAAATATTGGTCCATACGCGCGCTTATAAAATACCAATCGAGTTCATCCAATATACTTTATATGCGCGCGGCAGAAATATAATACTTTCCAATATTTTTCAAGAGCACGATATATCTATTCACCGTGAGGCAAGGTCGACGCGCATAATTTTTATAACAACCTCGGTGTGCAGAAATGGAAAGGAAAATTACGACGCCGTACATCGACGAGTTCTTTTTTGTTGTCGTCGTTGGTGAATAGATAATTCTAGGAGCGCGATCGACCAGTCGAAGAGAGAAAAACTTTGGAAAAGTTTTCAATACGGAAATATAAGCCGTGAATAATTTTTTTTTACCGTCGATCAACTCTTCAAGAGTTCAAAACAAAATTTTTTTGCAGTCGTCGTCGAGTTCAATGATGAATTGCTCGCAAAAGTCTTCAACAATTATCTCACACGCTCGCGCAGATTATCCTTATAACGAATAGAAAGTCTTTTGCAGGCAAGCGAAATTAAATTCAAGCATTATGCAAACATTCTATCCGAGCGTGAAAAAAATACGTACAACAACAAAAAAAAATAAAGATTTGACGTGAGTTCGCGAGCTTTCATCGATCACCTCGAGCACGCGGGCTGCTCGATCCATCAAAATTATATCCTTATTATTTCACTTTCTCTAGACAATACACGCCTATATGTGTGTGTGCATGTAAGCGAGCGCGAAAGAATTTTAAACTCCATATAATACGCGAGGAACGCGTAATTGTCGTGGAACCGAGACCACCGAGGTAATGACTCACTTCGTACAATATGTATGCAAGCGGATCGATCAAGAGATCGCATTTTCGATAGTAAATATCGCGCAAAACTTTTCGAGAGTCTATTACTAGAGAGAGACTCCGCGGGATAGGAACAGGAAAAAAAGATAGAGAAAAAAAAATTAATCAATACTCGAGAGCGCGTTGCACACGGCTTTTACGATCGTTTGATTTTATGGCTTCATGTTTCTGGCTGCCTTTCGCAATTCAGTCTCTCAATTATAATTCAGCCATGAAAAATTTTTCCTCGACACACGAAAAGGGTATGCCCGAAATGAGCAAAAAAAAAAAAAAAAAANAAAAAAAAAAAAAAAAAGAACGACAACTTTCACCTTCGTCTCACAGTAGTCAAATGGACCTCTAATCGCCTACATAATTTTCAAACACCTACTCGTATCATTGACATTTATATCGGCTGATTAAAATAATCGACCGCAGCAGTGGTTTATAATATAATGTACGACCAATTGTGCTAACGACTTAATTTATTTGCCGTGTCGTAAAACAAAAAGTAAAAAAAGTAAAAAAAAAAGAAGAAAACAAAGAATGCGTATAATTAAATTTCAGATTGAAAATATTGAATTAACAGCTTTTAACACAATGACGTTTTGAATTCGCCGGCGGCGGTGCGTCGGGTAAGCGTTAAAAATGTTATCTTTGCATTCCAACGACAACGACGACGAGAAAAGCGATTGTAAAACGTGTTCGATAGTGCAAAGATAATAACAAACGAATACATAAACGATCGGAGAGAAGAGAAAATAAAATAAAGGGGAGGAAGGAGATTACATCGATATAAATAAATAGCGGAATGTCGAATTACATAACAACAAATCTTTGCCATTAATATTACTTTACGCGCGAGCCGATTGAACGTGCATGCATGTGTGTGTGTGTGTATACCGACAGTTGACACGTGAGAGCCGTAATAAACGCAAAATTTTTTAATCGAACCGCGTCCAATATTATACAATACACACGTACATACGTACGCAAACACACACATAAACTTTATACACTTTACACGCGTCGCGCGCGAGAGCTGGCAAGATCGTGTTCGCGCGAGGCAGCAGCTCAGCCTGCACCACGACCCGTTGACAAGACGAGTTCTTTTTGCGTTATAAAAGTCACCGCTGCTGCTGTTGCTGCACGTATAGAGTTTTGCTGCTGCCGCTGCAGCAGCACACCCGGCCCGCGCGCGTATTTATAGGCTGGATTTTAGTTTATATACGCGCGCGAATGTATTTACACTCACACGTATAAACGCACAGCAGCAGTTCAGTACTAGGAGGTAATACGACATTCCTGCTTTTGATTTGTGCTGTTGAAATTTTACCTATTTTATATATCGCCGCGCGGCTCCGAAGGCCTTGTAAATCGCGCGCGCGTTCAAGCAGTGGCGGCAGCTACTTATCCATGTGCGCGCGTACGAGTGCGCCTTTTTCTCGGCCGGTCGCGGCTGTCGATAATTTTGTTTGCCAATAAAATAGCAGCCGCAGCGAGTAAAAAGGAAGGGAGACAGAGAGAGAGGTTTATTACGGCAAATAAATCAAAATGTGTAGCACGATCACGCGAGTCGTTTCGGGAATTAATTAATAACAAATTTTGCCGCGTGCGCGACGTCGATGTATTATATGGCTTTCAGGTGCTATTTTGACGGTTCGAGTATGGAGCATTTTTTTGGGGGCGTGAGATCGAGATTGAGCAGATTAACTCGTTCCTCCTTTTTTTTCTTTTAACATTGACGAATTTATCGGACATTATTGAGATCTTTCGCCTTGTTTTACAAAAAGATACATACATTTGCATAATCATCATTGAACTCGGGCTGCTGCGATTTATAATCCTTTGAGTCACACTTCCAATAAGTTTTTCCAGGTAAATTTCGGAGCACGCGAAAAGAAACGTGAATTTGATTTCTTCATCACGAGAGCGATCTCGATGTATGAGTGAAATAAAATGAAATGAAATATAAAAAAAATACAGTGTCCTTGGCTATAACTACTTGAACTGAAGAATATGTTGTATGCGGTCGACAGTGCAAAAATGGAACAAAAAATTATGTACATGTTGAATAAATCAACAAAAAAGTTGCTATGCTACGTTTACACGAATGAAAGGTGACAATCAAATTATATTACAATCTAAAACATTTACTACTTTAAACGCAATAAAAATGACACTGAATAGAGAAACACCGAATTTATATGAGAGAAAAAGTTTGAGCGCTGTACCTCCTGAGAAATCCCACAAAGAAGTGAAGGTAAGCATGTTGAGTAGAAAAAAGAGAAAGACGATGCACGTGAATAATCAATGATTATTATTGTTCATATTGATATACTGATATGTATCATGATAGAAATTTACATACAAATTATATACTTCTCACACACTTTTGTACTCAAAACAGATGCACAACTGCGTTTTTCTTAAAAAGCTCACTCGCATTGATACCACATCTTTACGACTACGCACACACAATTTTGGACTACGATCGAGATAAAGAAAAAAATTACATAAATTGTCGAACCTAATAAAAAAGAATGAATCATTGTCGATCGTTAAAAAGTAAATTTAAAACCTAACAAAAAAAAAAGTGTCGAAAAAAATCAATAAAAAACGCGTTTTGATCGCGCGGCGCGAAAGTCTCGAGGTCAAGCTATTTTTAGAGCATCGTTGATAAATAACGTCCTACTTGAAAAAAAGGGATTGAACCTGGCTATACACGACTCGTATCCTCGCGCGTCAATCGTGTTTATGCATTAATGAGATTCGAATTTTCTGCGAACATGCGCACAAATTCATACAGCGTATATACTTCGCACTTTACCAGGATGGCATTAGAAAAAGGAAGAAAAGGTATATAGAAATGAAGGAATAGTTTTATCGCAGACCCGAACGCTACACACGAGATAAGTTCACTATACGCATATATACGGCGCGCTGGCGCAGCTGAAAGCTCCGATTACGCGACTAATTTTTTTTCTGCTTTTTTTTCTTCGCTGTCCACGGTGAATTTAAAACGGCGCTCGACGTTTGAAAAACTATCGAGATATATCGAAGCCTCGCGCGCTGTTAACCCTTCCTTCCTTGCCTGATCTTTCGCATTACGCACGTATGTGTGTATACGCGCTTTTCGAATTGCGATAAACGCAAGCGCGCGCGATGCACAACGGTGCAGTGTGCGCTCGTTTATTTACTTTTATATGTACGCGTACACAGAATGTGGTCGCGGCAAGAAGAATAAAAAAAAAGGGTTAAAAGGTATCGAGATAAGGCACGGCGCTATTTTTCGAATTCCAGCATCGATCGGTGCGGTGCACGCGCGCCATTTATATTACGCGTACGCACATAGCTCTTTCCGCGATCGGAAAAACAGTATAGCGTATATACATTATATCCGCGTGGCACGCGTTTCGGTCCAGCGCGATAAGGGACACGCGCTCGCGAGCGCATAATATACATTACGATTCCGCTCGCTTATTACGAATTTACCGGTCACGGTGAAGCTGCAGCAGCGGCTCTCGTGCTTATTATTAGCGCCTCTCGCGCGCGCGAGTTTGCATCTTTTTAATTACTCGATCGTGCGCTGTTCGGACGAAGTTTCAAGTTCGTATATCCCTACATATCCCCATAGGATGATTCACGCGCGAGATTCTCGCGCTCGTGGCCGCAACCGGTATGTCAGTGTGTGTGTGTGTGTGTGTGTGTGTGTGTGTGCTATTCTGTATAAGTGTAATAATCATAATGATACAACGGCTCGCGCGCGAAACACGTTCGTTTTCGCGCGGCAACGACGACGACGACGACGCGAGCGAGAGGCCGTTACAACGGGAAACGAGTTTCCGAAATATTCATTCCTCTCCGCGAGAGAACTTTGCGCGTTATATTAATGCACTTCACTCTCTTGCTGAAGTGAACTGCTGCTGCTGCGCGATAAATCAAATTATTGCCGCTCGCGCAAGCACGCGCGTGTTCCATAATACGTGTTATACATCATTTAAGCGCAGCCCGATCATCGCGTCATCTTCCATTAGACGCGTCGTTTGCTCGTACGATCGGTATTATTATAATGCGCTGCAGCTACTACAGCGATGTTGTAGTATATACAAGCCTTCGACGAGAATAAGCTACAGCGACGTAGCTCGCCCACACGTTCGACGAGACGAGACCTGTAATTGTGTATATAAGTAGTGCAAAGTAGCTATATGCCGAGATTTATATTTGTGCAGCACGGTCGAGCCTGCGCGCGAGTGCACCTACGCGTCGAGTCTCTTTTGCGTAGCATAATACACACACACACAGACACACTCAAGAACGATAAGCCCCGTAGTAAAACAAGCGTTGTCTACGTGTGTGTATGCGCGTGTATAACGACGACTTCCGTCGTCCCCGAGTACATATATATCGCGTATACTACTACGAGCTGGATAAATAGCGCCTTGGGAAATGGGATAAATGCATATAATGATGAAGAAGAAGAAAAAAAGGATGCATCGTTCGAGTATATACTGCACACGTCTCGCGCGCAGGATAAACAAAAGATCTGTGCAAGCACACACACACATACGGCGCAACATAACGTTCGCAGCTTATTGTGTAATTAAAACGTGTAGGAAACGCCATACGAGCAACTAATGATTACCCGTTTACTGTAAATACTGTCTCGCGGCAGCAGCGCGACTGAACTGCCGCGGAATAATAATAACGACATAATGCAATGTGCCACTCGACTCATGCTCTCTCGAGCTGGCATTATAATATATAGAAACGTTAAAACATGGACATACGTCTTATATACGCGGCGCACGTCGATCGTTGCTCGAGATTATAACATTACATCCGATAGGTTAATAGTTGCGTTAACTCTCGACTTCGCGAGCGAGAGAGATTCAGAAAAATCTATTCATTACGTGTGTGTACCTGCTGCATTATGCATTATAGCCTTGAAAGTCTATGATCGTCGTTGTATGTATAGTATACAAAAAGGGCACCTATATACAATATATGAATCCGGAAAGAATTAGTCCCGCAGCAATTTTTTTTTTATTACTCGCGTGTGTAGCAACTAATCGCGAGCTCCCCTACTTCGAAGCTTCATCTCATTATTTTCTCATCATCATCCGCAATGGCGCGTACAGAGCGGCATCAGAGACACATAGCAAGGAGATAATATGCTGCACTAGTTTTTTTTTTTTCCTCGACGTGTGTAGTACGACATATAGGCCCACATATAGGTATGTACAGCAGAGAGACACACACACGCATACTACACCGTATCTCGAATGAGCTGCAGTGTTCAGAAATGCAGTGTGCTCGCGCTCGAGTTTATTGTAGCGGTAAAGAAATTATGGCACGCGGCGCGGCACTCTCTATATAGGCTCTTCGTCGTCGCTGCAGAACTGAGCTACTACTACTACCTACTACTACCTTGGCTAATACAACTGTTATGACTGCGCACACTCTCTGTGTTATGTAGCTGTATAATACATAAATGTATCTATATCTATACAACAACACAGAGATGCACATTTATATATATATGCCAAGGCGCGCGCGCGCGCTTGCAGGTGAGTGAAATTACACCTCTCTTTTTTTGCCTATTTGCTATTTCTTCGCTTCAAGCTCATTGAAATCGACTTATGCCCCACGACGAAGACGACGAGATGCGCGCCGCGCGAAGAACCGATCGCCTGCGCTGATGAATGTAGGTTAACAGTGGTTAGTCTAATAGAGTAAGCCGAGTCTATATAGTAATAATAGAGGATGGAGAAGGCAGCCATCACCTTCCACCATTATAGGAGTAACTTAATTTTTCTACGTAAAAGACGTTTCCTGAGTGATTTTATGTCGTTTGCTGCTGCCTTTTTTTGCTCATTACCTACGCCTCGCTAAGACGCCGATGCTCCGCCGATAGCTTGACCCAGTTATTCGTAATATTTTCTTTACGAATCGATCGAACGATCTCCCGTGTTGATAAAATGAAGAGAGCGAGAGAAAAAATAAAAATAAAAGAAAACAAACGTTTCACGACGCCAATCGCCAATTATATAATGTTCGTAAGAGAGAAAGATTGAAAAATAAAGAAAAGAAAACAATCTCTACATAATGAAGCCTACTCAAAAATTGTCACGGCTATTCACAAATTCACATCAATCAACGACGTACACACACCATACGAATAATATTATTTATCACACACACACACACACACACACGTATAATAATCTGTCATCTAAAAAAAACATGTCGCAAGACTATACGGACACGCACACCAATATTCACGCACTCTTACATCCCTTCACCAAACACGAGACATACGTATAAACGTAATGATATTATAGAGTCGCGAGTACTGACCTTGGGTAAGGACGCCAAACACTGTTGCTTCACGTCCCAGACGAGCTGATCCTTGGGGAACTGCAGACACTTGCTCACGCACAATTCGGGCACGTGTATCCGCGCCAAGAGTATTCCGTCGTCGACGGGCTCCTGCTCGTCGGGCATCTCGTCCTGCTGCTGCTGCGCTTGTTGCTGCTGTTGCTGTGGTTGTTGCTGGTTGTTCTGAGCACCGCCGAGGGTGGCGCTCGCTGCTGGGGTGCCTGGCATTTTTACGTTTGTTATGGCCTGCTTCGGAACCGCTTCCATTCGGGCGGAGCCGACTAGGCCATCTCGCTCGACCTCGTGGTCGTGGTCTTCGACGTCTCTGCGCCCGAGTCACATCTGCGAACATAAAAAATGATATTTCATAAGTACAAGATAAACATGTGTATCATCTACGTCGCTTGTTTGCTTCGGCACAAAAGTGCAGAGTTTAGAGCCGAGCAGGAGAGAGAGAGAGAAGAACTAAAATTCCAATGACGAGCTTTTTTTAAGTGCTGCGCCGCGGCGCTCGTAAAACAATTTTTATATAAGTGTACAGCGCGAGAGCTTATACGGGCTATTTGCGAGACGCCTTCTCATTTTTTTCCTTCTTACTTCGCTCGAGGAATGTCATTTGGTCTAACGACGTCGAAAATAGCCTCGTAAAAAAAGTTTTTTTTTTCTACTCAACTTCCACTCGCGCTTTTCTTAAATAGCGAGTAATGTTTATAATGGGCGGTTTGCGCGCGCGGCTATTAAGACTCCGACGTGCGTGTGTTATCGATTCTTCGCGTAAAGCGTTAGTATGCGATCGACGAGACGTGAAAATAAGAAAAATACCACGCGAGATGCCGAAAAATTCAAATTATTTCGCATATGCGGCGATGCTGTGTTATTTTAGCGCGCGACGAGCTATACACGAGTCTGATAAGGCTCTTCGTTTCCTCGTATTCCACGAGTATGATATATTATGGGTTACGCATACGCCGCATGCGAAGCGCCCGATGATGCGAAGAGATTAGCCAAACTGCGCGCGCCTCGCCGAAAATTAATAAAAAAAGTTGGAGGAATATAAAAAAAAATTCACGAAACTGTTATAAGAATGGTTTGCAGGAGAGTATCATCATCAGATTATTACGAAGGCAACGGCCCAAGCTCGATAAGTTCTTTTTAACAAAAACGAAATAAAGTAAAAAACACCGTTGCCTTTAAGGTCCAGACATTTTCCATATAACACGTGCTTTAGGATTTGCGGATCGAGCTGCTGAAACTCCTCGAGGTTCAACGAACCCCCTTTCGCGCTATAAAAACCCCTCCGACGTGAGCGAGAGAGAAGGAGCGATGGAGCGAGTAATTTTCGGTGTTAACGCGCGCGCGCGAAAAGATCGAGGTAAGGAATCAAAGGCTTAAAAAGTTCACCGAGCGCTACGCTGCGGAATATTTTTCATTTCGAGGAAGATAGAGAGAGAGAGAGAGAGCGAGAGGAGAATCGATCAAAGCGATTCGTAATCGCGCGCGAGCGTCCCTGATACGTGCCAGAAAAACTTTTCATACAGGAGTAAAAGTCATTTTTAGATCTAAACTTTTTTTCCTACATATCTTCGTCTCGTAAACATCAACGTCTGTCCAAAATCGTCTATTTCATTCCGCAGTTTTATACCGCGCGGCGAAAGAGCAGGAAAAAACGGATCAGTAGAAAACGATTCTTTCTGCGCGCTCTATACGAAAACAGCCCGGGTGCGATTTATCACTGAAGAAAAAAAATCTCGATCGCCGCCGCCGACTGCGTCCGTTATTAAAGTGCTGCTCGCGATATGATCTGGCACTCGCTCTTTTATATATATTGGGTTCTTTTCAAAGTACATACATTACGAAACGTTCACGGCTCTCGGGGGTAATCGTTCCGAGGGCCGGAGAGAATTCGCCTAAAAAGAAAAAAAAGAGAAGAAAAACTTTATGTAGACTGAAAAAGGTCGATGATTTTTTCCTTTCCCCCGATACGATCGACGCAGCTCTCGATCCCGCGCCGCGCGTAATGATGATGAGCAATAGTTAAAATGAAGAAGCTGGAGTAAAAACAGATCGTCGAGTCGAGATATAGGTCTCTGAGAAAATGGCCCGAAGCTTCGAATCGTCGGCGGACGGAGTCTGCGGCAGTTCTGCAGACGTGACCGCACCGACGCGAGCGAGCGAGCGAGGAGGAGGAAAATAATTTACCCCAGATGGCGTGAAAGTTAAGGATTATATACCGAAGGTGACCGATATTAAATATTCATATTAAAAGCGTCGGAGGAAGGAATCAAGAGATTTGCTTTATGGAAATGTTATTATTTATAAGATGCTCAACGACGATAAAAAGCTCTCTGGCGATCGAAGCCCAAGAGAAGAAAGAGGGGGAGGTAGATACATAATATAATCGCATATCGCGCGCGCGGAAAATGCGCGCGTAATAAAATTTACGTAATTACAGTGTAATGACGCTGTTATTATATTCTCGCGCACTTGCGTAGGCCGACGCGCGCGAGATGATCAGATGGCGATCTTTAACGCGATTAAAGCATCTTAAGAGCCAATATTCCTTGCTCTTCGTTTTTATTTCTTCCTCGATCGTTTTTTGTTTTGTTTTTTGTTTTATCGTTGCGTCTCGCGCTGATAAACAAAACAAAAAACTGTATCAGGTTGATTTAATACATGAAATTTCCACGTGTACGATTGTCTTTCGGAAATGTCTTTCGCAATCGCGCGGCACATGTGCGTATACGTACATACGTATTGGCAGGCATTACTTTACATACCGACCGATCGATCGTTATAAGGCCCTTTTTTTCTTTTTCTTATATTTACTTCTGCCGGGGCGCGCGCGCGTGAGACAGAGATACGTAACCGGTACGCGCGTCATGTGCACTTTCACTGGAAAGTCCCCCGCCTGATACGTGCGTAAGCACAAAGTAAGGTATATGGCAGCAGGCATGTAGCAGATACACACATGCACAAAAGAACAAAACGAATGGAAAAAATAAGAAGAAAAAGAGAAAAATCACCAGGAGGACTTCGGCTCGTACTCATCGCACCACCGACGATCTTCGACAAGTTGGCGTCTTGCGTCATTCGGAGATTTTTCGCGATACGCGCGTACAAACTCGCGCGCGTAACGATGGTTTTAGCGTGGTTGTAAGGTACACGAAGGTGGAAAAATTTTTCGAGATAAGAAAGCCATTGGGCCCTGTAATCTTCGCTCGGGATGAATGTACCATAAGATACATGCCGTTGCCGAGTCAAAAGTTTACAAAATAATAATGTGGTCTCTCCATATGGACTTTCTACTTTTTTTCCTCGTCTATGAATAATTCACGCGAGAATCCCATACACAGAGAGGTAAAATAATAGATAGAAAAAGATATCACAAATTGTATAATATCTCGTCTCGAGCTTTATACACACTTGATGATATATAACAATCAAACACAGCAGCGAATTGAGAGGTGAAAAATTCGCAAGGCACCTGCCTGCCGCGCGCCAAAATATTGCGCAAAGATGTTATAGACAACGACTCGAGATTATCAAGAGTGTAAAAAGAAGTTAAGAAAAAATCACACGACGTAAACAACACACACACACACACACACACACACATAGGCGCACATAATATGACAAAGTGAAAACGCCCGCGTGATTTATATCGGTGAAAATATAATAAAAAGGAGTGAGTGAGAGAGAGAGAGAGAGAGAGAGCAAGCAAAGAAGACGTGTTGTGTCTCGCAAGGAGCTCTGCAAGCGGCGGCGACTCGTCGTTATTATCTTCGAGGCGGAATCTTCCGACTCCCGGGGCATGGAAAATTCAATTTCATTAAATTTTAATTTCCACCGCGCGCGCATTATACAAGTGTGCGTCGTATTATATATATCGTACATAAGTATTTAATTTTAAATTTATAAATCCGCGTTGTGTGGCTCGTCGCGCTTCTCTTTCTCTCTCTCTCTCTCTGTCTCGTGTACTTGTATACATGTAATTCTTCCGTCATCAGCGAAAGTTAATTGCCGGCCGGCATTTGCTCCGCTTTACTACCGTGGCGGCAATAATTTATAACTTTTTGCGTCGTGTCGTATATGGATATAATACGCGAGATACGTGTACGTGTGTACGCGCGTGTGTGCAACAATAATTGCACATTTTGGATGACGCTTAATGGCGCTTATACTCCTTTTCTCTCTCGCGCGTACGCGCAAGATATGTCGCGGGCAGTATATACACGCACACAGAGCAGCGTGTCAGTATCGTACGACGCGAGGCGCCACTATCCGCGAGCATTAAATAAGTTCAATGTCGCAAGGTCATTAAAATGCATAAGTGCCGATGATAAAAGTCGAAGCATTATATTAATCAAATGCATTAAGATAATGGATAATTGTTCAATTTGTAAATTACGATTGCTTTCAAGCTTGTACGCTGAGCGCAGTGCTGCGCCACGCGTATTATATGCTGCAAAAGATAAGCAGATGTACTCCGTGTGTGTGTAGAAGAATTTTTAATAGCACGATTCGAAGATACAACGTCAATATTTATACGCACAGCCAATTTTTGTGCGTGTGCGTGAGCGTGTATGAGTAATGAAAGGTTCTTGAATAATTTCAAACTAAGCTCTTACAAGAAATTAATGAAAAATTTAGCGAAACACTACCAGTAGAGTTTTTTTTCTGAAAGTTTTCTAAAATGGAGAACCCACAAAATCCTCATGCACGATATTCAACAACTTCACTTCTATTTTATTTTTATAACATGTTTATGATCGCACTTAAGTATTCTTAGATTTTTTCAATGAATTCTTGGTTTTAGCCTTAAGCTTTGCCAAACATTCTAGTCCCTTTTTCTTCTTTTCTTTCTCTAATCGTCTTTTTTCCTTGATTTTAAGTCTTTTTATTTCTAATTTTTTTTTACGATCATCATCCATGGTTATAATGCCGACACGATTAAAAGTAAAACAATTACACTGCAATTATTTGACACCAAAATGTAACACACTTCAACGCACGATTAAAAGTTATCTCCGCAGAAGCAATGATCACATTTTAATGATGATAATGATATAAAAATACAGTAAATTTCGGCGAAGAAATGTGCCTCCCTAATATAACGTCAAATCGGAATAACCAGATCAACCTGTCAACAAACTGTGCAGACTTAATATTTTAGAATAGTTATTTATGTAACAAGTGCCCAAAAGACGTTTTTGGGCTCGAGTGTGCGGAAAAAGACACGAGTGCCGGCTATGCCGGCACGAGTGGGTGTTTTTTCCGCACACTGTGCGCAAAAAGCTGGGCACGTGTTGCATACAAAATTTTATGCAATAGGAGACGAAAAA